CCCATAATTCCCAGAAATGTTGTCTTCAGCCCGGCAATGTTTGGTAACCAGGAGGTAAGCCGTGAGAAATCAAAGTAGCCCTGACTGTAGCCAATGTTGTGAACCAAAGTTTTTAAATCCCGTTTTTTTCCCTGTATCAATTTGGAATTGTCAACCAAATTAAAACAGCACATGCCTTCAGGAAGGAGACGGAAAGTTGAATGCAGGGCAGTCCACCCCTGTGGCGTCTTTGGGTTTCTCTGAGGTTGGTTGTTTTCTTGGAAACGTTTCTTGCTAGCACTGAAGATGTAACCTAGCCAGGTAATGAAACGTTTGCAAGAAGACGACCAAGCTCAGAGAGCCCCAAGGACTCCACAGTTCAACCCTGAGCCGCACATATTCTCTTCTATTGGTCAGTCCACCCCTGCGAGCTTTCTTTTGCGATCAGGGTGCCCAGCTCTCTGCAGGATGCCCTGAGTTTCACTTGAGGGGCGTTACCTGCCCATCGTATGTACAGTAGACACGTGGCCTATCAAGAATAAACGCCTATTTAGAGTTTTGGTTGATTATTAGAGATTATTCCCATCCGCCCTCTCACAAAGTGAAAATAGTCACCAATCTTAGAGTCATTCAGTAGCTTTGTGTCGACAGGGAATGTCCCTTGCCAGTCATGAGGCACAGTTGTGGAGACCCAATATTTATACTGCTGTTCAGTGATGCCAGTCTGTCAGTCGAAATGTCAGTAAATGCAGCGGGCAGGGTAAGAGGCAGGCGTTTTTAGCCAGCACAGGCACCTTTGCTTTAAGCAGAGTCACGCCCCAAGTCAGGAGCTTGGAAGACTCCTCCTGAGGTGACTGCAATCCCCCTCATGAGTTCCTACTGAAGTCCACTGAAGAAAAGGACAATCCTTCGCCACTCTTGTAGGGGAATCTCCTATTTGGAGATGCAAAGCATTTTTTTCTGGCACGGCAGAATTTGCCTGCTCTCAAATGCCCGGTGCCTCCCTTCACCCACATTTTGCTCCTCTGGCCCTGAATTGTCTTTCCCCCTTTCCTTTCCTCTCCTCTGGGCAGGGGGTTCTCTTAGTCACAGGAGGGGAGGGGATGTTGTGTAGGATCAGTTGCGCCACTCTCTCTCCTCCTGTGAGGCTCCCTTCAGGTCTCTCTGGGCCTAGCTGGAGAAGCACTTCTTGGTGCCCAGGGTCTATTGCATCCTCCCCCTGTACATCTATGCCCAGTAGGGCCAAGTCTGTTATTTTGTATTTACACTGATGTCGCTGGGCACTCTCCGTGTGCTCCTGCACCTTCCTCATTGCAACCACCAGCAGGAAGCATCACGGTCTGACTTCCTTATATGGAGCGTGCGAAGCTTCTCTCCTGGGGGAG